GTTAGAGGCTGAGTTTTTTGACTTATAAAAAGTGCAATTTCGTTACTAAATATAAAAAAAAAATCTTTAAAATAACAGAATAGTGGGACGTGGTTAAAAATGCCTAAAGCTAAAACAAATTTGTCAAGACAATCGAGAGCCGCAAGGGCGATGGCCCGTAATCGGAGATTAGTAGCGGCTGCGCGAGTAGAAACGATGCCTGCAATCGGAATTAGATCCGCGTTTATTTATCGACCTCAAATCAATTATATAGGTGATTTTTACAAAAAAAAGCCTATCTACACATATCAGTGCCGTACCTATCAGTGTCAGTGAAAAATATAATATCGTTGCCCCAGTCCCAAATAGAGTTGTTCAGACCGTCCGGCACAGTGCCGTTTTTTACCGTCAGTGCAGTTTTATACACTCTAAAAACTGCATGTAAAAGTGCTACTGATAAGTGTTTATTTTCAAACAAAATCTGTGTAAGTATACGCATAAGATGTTCAAGAATACACATGAAATGTTTAAAATTGCAAATGCTTTTAACGCAAAAATACATTCCCTACTAAAAATAAAAATTTAGAACATTTTATGTGTAATTTTGTTTTACGCATGAAATTTGGTATGTAAAAGTAAACAGGCAGTGTTTAATTTTATTAACACGGTGTCTAAATTTGCACACATTAGAGGAGAGGAAACTGGTATCCTTTCTTAGTATGCGTTAATTTAAAAAAAAAAACTTTTAAAGCAAATTTTAAACATTTCATGTGCAACCGTGTAATTGCGAACCTTAAGAAAATTCTATAGAAATTTTTGTAGTTACGTTTAACTTATGATTTAACTATACTTTAAAATAGGTAAATTAACTGCTCTAAGGGCCAAATTCACAGTGCTGTACTGAAAATCTGTAGTTAACTGCCGATTCTGAGTTAACTACGCACAGTGAATTTGGCCTTAAGTGTTTATAATTCAACAAACAAATTTCAAATTTGTTCTACGCCACACATATCGCACACCGTCTTCAAAAGAGTCACAACTCAAAATAATACGTTTGTCAGAAAATGCGAAAAACTATTTCTTAGCACGTGATAATAATATGGGCAAGGCGGCTTTACCATAGGTTTTTTTAACAAATTATAACAAAAAATTGCTCCAGCTTTTGCTGAAAGGTAAATAAAAGCTCTGTATACATTTTTAGCGTATGATCTCAAAAATTCCAAATTTTGAGTTGTGACTCTTTTGAAGACGGTGTGCGATATGGTAAGTAAAAGTTAAAAAGCAGTATTTAAATTGATTAACATGGTGTGCAAATTTGCATACATTAAGAGAGGAAACTGGTTACTTTTTTTAATATGCTTAAATTTAAACAAAAATTTTTTAGAGTGTAGTTAACTCGGCAATGGTTTGTTTGTGTATTTCACTGACGAGCTGACGGTATTCTATTGCAAGTGTTGTTGTTTTTGTTGGAGGGAAAATTAATCGAGTGGGTACGGAATTATCCAGAATTATATAATTTGCCAATTGATCATTAGTAAAATAAGCCATCTTGGTGTCAATGAACTTCATTTTACTGAAAGTACCGGACGACATACTACGGATGTGTGTGAATTGGTATCACTGATCGATGCTGATTGGCAATAATACTGAACTGATACGGCACTGATTTGTGAAGATAGATCTTTACTTTTATTATTATAACCAATGGATTACAACACATTATAAGTACATACATATGTATATGTAGGTGATCCGCTTCTATCAATTGGGGAAATGACACACATATGTTTGCAATGCAATGCGAAAAAATGGCGAAAGGAAACGAAGGGAATGTGTTGCAGTAGTGGCCGGGTTCGACTTCATGATATGTCTGAACCTCCAGACATACTCACAGCTTTGTTAAGCCGAACGGATGAAATGTCAAGCCATTTTCTAAAAAATATAAGGAAATACAACGGCTGTTTTGCAATGACATCGTTTGGTGGTAAAGAAGTTAGAGAAGGGAATTATATGCCTACTTACAAAGTTCATGGTCAGGTTTACCACCTTATTGGTAGCTTGCTACCAGCAGCGCAAACGACGCCACAATTTCTGAAAATATATTTTACTACCGAAGATGAACAGCTTTCTTTGCGGCAAACTGCCGCACCCGCTCTTAGAAGAGATATTTTAGAATCTTTGCAGCGAATTCTTCACGAAAATAATGCTTACTTGCGAAGTTTGAAGACGGCAATGGAATGTATATCTACTAGCGATGAAAATTACAGGATTGTGATCCATGCTGAAAAACGTCCTGCCAATGAACATCGCGGTCGATATAATGCCCCTACTACAAACGAGGTTGCGGTATTAATAGTTGACGGAAGTACTGGTCCCCGTGATATTGTGTTACGATCGCGCGATAATAGTCTTCAGCGGATATCGGAACTTCATCGGTCTTATGATCCCTTACAATATCCAATAATGTTTTTAAATGGCGAAGATGGTTACAGCATTGACATTCCTCAAGTTTCGCCAATAACTGGGGAGGTTGTTCCATCACAATTAGTGTCCTGTATGCAATATTATTCATATAGGCTTATGACAAGAGAAAACAACTTTAACAGCTTACACAGGTATGGGCAACTCTTCAATCAGTATTGTGTAGATATGGCTGCAAAAATGATCACTGAGCGCTTAAATTTTATACGGGCTTATCAAAGGACGTTACGTGTCGATAATTACGTGCACTTAAGAGATGCTGTAAACGAAGACGCTAACCCGGAAAATGTAGGCCAATTAGTTATTTTACCCTCCACTTTTACGGGGTCGCCCAGATACCTCCATGAGCGCACACAAGATGCCCTGTTGTATGTACGACATTATGGAAGACCCGATTTATTTGTAACCTTTACATGTAACCCGGACTGGAGTGAAATAACACAGCAATTGTTTTCTGGTCAACGCGGAAGCGAGCGCCATGATATTGTAGCAAGAGTCTTTCATTTGAAATTACATCAGCTAATGGATATAATAACCAAACAGAACATATTTGGGTCAGTGAAGTGCCACATATTTTCAGTGGAATGGCAAAAGCGGGGACTACCACATGCCCACATCTTGATTTGGCTGGCCGTTAAAATACGACCCGATGAGATAGACAGTATAATTTCAGCGGAAATCCCTAACAATCACGAAGATCCTTTGTTGTATGAAATAGTATGCAAAAATATGATCCATGGCCCCTGTGGCTCGCGAAATCTCACCTCACCATGCATGGTAAATGGCCAATGTTCTAAAAGATTTCCACGTGAATTCCTTCAGCACACACAAACAGGCGATGACGGGTATCCTAGATATAGACGGAGATCTCCAGCCGATGGGGGATTCACTCATATGTTAGCTTCTAATGGTTGCACAGTCGATAATACGTGGATAGTTCCTTATTGCCCCATGCTCTCGAGATGTTTCGCAGCGCACATTAACGTAGAATATTGCCATTCCGTGCAAGCAATTAAATATATATGCAAATACGGGCAGCGACGCAGCTACATTTTCTGTTCAGGATAGACATGATGAAATAAAAAATTTCTTAAATGGGAGATATCTAAGCACTTCTGAAGGAATTTGGAGAATACTAGGATTTTCGATCCACGAACGTTATCCAACAGTCACACATCTGGCTGTGCATTTGGAGAATGGGCAAAGGGTTTATTTTACTCCAAATACTTTGAACCATGTTATTCAGAATCCACCGGAAACAACTCTTACTTCGTTTTTTCAAACTATGTACGACTGATAGCTTCGCGAAAACTTTGCTTTATAACGAAGTTCCAGCATATTACATTTGGACGAATAAAAAGTGGAAACGAAGGAAACGTGGACAAGATGTACCTAATTACCCAGGGATCAAGCAAGACACCGCTTTGGGAAGAGTTTATACAATACATCCTAATTATTCGGAATGTTTCTATCTCAGACTCTTATTACATTCTGTTCGAGGTCCCAAATCTTTTATGGATTTAAAGAAAATCGATGGAGAGGTTTTACCGACTTATCGTGCAGCATGTCAAGCACGAAATTTGCTTCAGGCCGATACACACTGGAAAGATGCTTTATCAGACGCAACAATTTCGGCAAGCGCAAACAAATTGAGAGAACTATTTGCAATAATCCTAATTTTTTGTGAAGTTTCGGATCCAATTGGATTGTGGAACATATTTCGGAAAAATTTATGCGATGACATTTTGCATAATACGAGGAGGCAAAGTAATAACCCTAATATTAACTTCAATGATGATATATTAAACGAAGGGCTTATTCTTATCGAAAATATACTTTTTTCACTGGGTGAAAAACGGCTTAGAGACTTTGGATTGCCAAGTCCCAATCGAGAAAGTTCATACTTAGCCAACCTCTATTACATACGAGAAACATCCTACAACACTACTGACCTGAATAGATTTGTTCAAGAGAACGAACAAAAACTTACTTCAGAACAGCGATTAATATATAATGAAGTCATAGCTAACGTAAACCAAAACATAGGAAATGTTTACTTCATAGATGCACCTGGGGGAACGGGTAAAACCTTTGTTACTTCATTGCTTCTAGCTAAAGTTCGTAGCGAAAATAAAATTGCAATCGCAGTGGCGTCCTCGGGAATTGCTGCCACGCTTTTGAGTGGAGGAAGAACTGCTCATTCCACTTTCAAACTACCACTCAGCATTTTACCGGAACAAAGCTGCACATGTTCGATAAAAAAAAATAGTGCCGCTGCTAAGATTCTTCAGCAGGCATCACTGATTATATGGGACGAGTGTACGATGTCCCATAAGTCTCATATTAATGCCGTCAATACAACTCTTAAGGACTTGAGATCATCTGATGCGGTAATGGGCGGAATTAGTTTTGTGTTCACAGGCGATTTTAGGCAAACACTACCTGTGGTTCCGAGAGGCACACGAGCTGATATCGTTAATGCTTGCTTAAAAGCTTCGGAAGTTTGGCCATATATAAAAAAATTGCATTTATCAGTTAACATGCGCGCGTACCTCAGTGTAAATAGCTGCTCTGAAGTATTTGCTCAGTACCTTCTACAAATAGGCAACGGTTCAGCAACTATAACACGCAATGGGTATGTTACCATGTCGGATATCGTAGGAACCTGCGTAAGAAGTATTGATGAGCTTATTGATAATGTTTATCCAAACATTGCAAACATACAAATTATTAATTCCAATTGGCTTTGCGAACGTGCAATTGTCACTTCGAAAAATTCGGCAGCAGAAGATATCAATGAAGCAGAATTGAGCAGAATTTCAACAGAATACAAACTCTATAAGTCTGTAAATTCAGTAACTGACCCCAACGATGTGGTTCATTACCCTGTGGAGTTTCTTAACTCCTTAAACCCCGCAGGTATGCCTCCACATGAGCTAAAACTTAAAGCTGGAACACCCGTAATTCTTTTACACAATCTTAAGCCACCCGAGTTGTGTAATGGTACGCGTCTTCAAATCATACGTTTTTTCCCCAATCTTATAAAGGCAAAAATTTTGACCGGTCCGGCAACGGGAGAAATAACGATGATTCCAAGGGTACCAATGATCCCAACGGATTTGCCATTTACGTTTAAACGTGTCCAGTTTCCAGTAAAGACATGTTTTGCCATTACCATTAATAAGTCCCAAGGGCAGACCTTTAACGTTGTCGGCATTGATCTCCGTAACGAAGTGTTTACGCATGGCCAATTATATGTGGCACTTTCACGTATCGGTTCATCACAAAATCAAACTTTTCTTATTCCCGGAAATGGAAATGAAACGCAAAACGTTGTTTTTACTGAAGTGTACAACAACTGAAATGTAAATACCTCTATTTTATAATCATTACTACTTCATTCTTCTAATTTATGCTGTACACTTCTTATATGAAAAAAGTATAAAATACATCCATAAACACATATCTATATTTTAAAGCCTTTTATTATTAAAATTTTTTAGGACGTTTGTAAATGTATTTAAAAGATCAAAGGTCCGTGGCGAAACCTAGGGTTACAATGGCCGTCCAGATGAATTACGGATACTAATAAGGGCAAAATTCTTCCTCTGAAGAGGTTTGAGTTTCAATACGGTTTCTCCTTAACTTTGCCGCAAAATTACTCACGAGGCGTCGCGAAGCACGCCGGGTATTTGCTAGTTATGTATAAAGTTTGAACCTGTGACTTATATGTTTTTGCTTAAAGCTTGGACGGTGTTTTTATAGAAAAATAACAAAAAAAAAATAGCTCGAAAAACATTACGAATATTTAAAAAAAATCAGCACGTGGTCATTTGTTTGAGTCACTAATAGAAGCAAGCTCCAGTTTCGCAGTTCACTTTTCATGCGTTGCACGTGGCCTTATGGTTGTCTCTACGGCTATAAACACAGCCGTAATGCGACTATCTCTGTTAATTGAAGGTGACAAAGCAAAAAATAATTATCCAAAAAGAAGGAAAAAATCCATGGACTTTAAAACAGTGGTTAGTTATTACAAAACTACATTTATGGAAAAGTTGTCAGCTTGAACGCTTATGCTTATTGGACGACCTACCCGTCACAGCAAAATATGTTTTTTTTTAACATATTTAACTTGCAAATACGTTACCCATTGTTTAAATCAGGTCTTTTTTAATAAATATTTATATAAAATCAGTACTGTTCACGAACTATGTGTCCTCAATAGTGACTCGTCCCTGTCGTCACAAAATACTGTCCCGCCCGCCACAAGCTAAAGTGTTTTTCAAATATAATAATGCCATCAAAGCATAAAATGGACCTTAACATTCTATTAACTACATTCAAGAAATATTTTCATATACTAGCACATAGTTTTTCTAAAATTGAGAAACGAATAAATCCACTCACGAGGGGTGGGTGTCGTTGTCTCACCCGTCACTCTTGGGAAAATGAAAATTTTCTGTGTAAATTATATAATTAAGTTTTCTCCTTTTTTAGTTTCGTGTTAAGCTGATATTTGAATTCAGATGTTAACAATTTGAACCTTTCCAAATTAAGGGTTAAAGAGAAATTACCTAAAAGATGGAGAAAAAACGAGTTTAAATGTCCCACTCGTCACGTTGGAATTCTCCATATATGTTTGAATAAAGAGAAGTAGCAATGACTGAACAAATAAAAAATAAACGCCCTTTATGGGCGAAATCCCACGAGTTGGCAACACTGGTTGGGATTGTAAATCGATCTACAAGGAAATAAAAAATTAATTATGTTTTCATTTTTTTGATGCGACATAATTAGAAGTCTCTACTCAAGAATATGGTTTATGTCATAACAATTAAACTTCTTTACAGCGAAAAGCAGTGTTATTTTAATGAAAAATGTTGATTATCTATAAAGATTTTCACTATCACTAAATATTAAGTGCTAGTGCAATTTTTTTTACTGTCATCAAGGGTTTAGTGGCAGTGCAATTTGGTTTTCACAATGTCCTGAATGACTCCTAAGAACGTGCTTTTAGTTTGGATGGGATCTCAGCTTCTTCGATAATTATTTGATTTTTAAAACAATTAATAGGCTTTTCAACTGCCTCTATGGTATAAGTTAATGATCTCTCGCTGTGAATAGTAGCTGAATCTGAGTTCATCGATAAATGATTTCAAACGTTTAATTTTTGCGTTTGCATTTATGTCGGAAACCGCAAACGTTGATGGTCAGTAAAACTATTTAAATGTCGTACACCATAAAGATAGTTGCTAAGGTTTTTCAGGGTCCTTACTATGACCAAAAGTTCCTTTTCGTTAGTTTCAAAATGAAGTTCTTTGTCTTTAAGAGTTATGGAAATCATAGTTAAGGGCCTGCCTTCTTGAGAAAGAACGGCACCCAGGCCATAATTTGACGCATCTGTTGTCAAATGAAACGGTTTTTCAAAATCAGGGTAAGCGAGCATTACGTCTTCTAATACCAAAATGTGTTTTAATGTCTCAAATGCTTGGTGTTGTTTTGAATTTAGCATATAGTAGCTTGCCAATCCTAAAAAAGGACCTGACACCGTACAATGCTTTGGAAGGTGGCAAGTTTAGCATTGTGTTTACTTTGTCAGGGCACGTTTTAATGCCACCTCTTGATACAATAAATCCGAGATACTCGGTTTCGGTTTTGAAAAATTTCGATTTTTCAACTGCTGCCCTCATGTTAGCGTCATATAAACTCTTCATACCCAGTCTATCAGCCCTATTCTGCATTTCGATTACGTTCCCGCATTCCGCTCCGCTGGAATCGAACTTTGGTATTCTGCGTTACGATCGAAACGAAAAAAGAAGAGGAAGACAGAAAACATCTTTCAAAATTAGCTGTTTGCCTAGGAATGTGTGAAATCGAAACAAAACAAAGAAATATTTGCCCCCAAACTATAGCAGCACATGAAGTTAAAGTTTGTAAATATTTTAAAATAACTAAATATACCTAGCATCACTGTAATTTAAAAATAAAATTTAAGTGGATACATAATTATAAGAATGAAATCCATAGCCGCGGCGTTATTGCTGGAAGAGAAGAACGAGTCCCAGATTGCTGATGCGGAAGTTGAAAGGCGGAGATTTAGGGACATGTTTGATCTTTTTTAGATGAGTGAAGAGTCATTAGGAATTCATCTTGAACTGTATTACTCATCGTTTAAAGTCAGTGAAATTATAAACGTTGTTTGAGCAGTCCACAACATTTGCATTTACTACAGAGTGGAAGATTTGAACGCAAATGAATCCCATTTTAAAAGCCGTCAGGAGGAGGAGAAGAACAAAGCTTATCTTTCCATAGCAAATCGAATTCGAGACAACATACGCACCTCTTTTTAAAAAGTTAGTAAAAACGAGTGCAATAATAAAAGCATCTTTTTTATGTAACTTCACATGTTATGTATGTAAGTATCTATGTGCATACATCGATTAATTTTATATAAAAAGAATAAATTGTATTCAGTGCATTTCACAGTCTTATTTATAGATAATGTAAACAAAAACGCCTTGACTTCCACTTTGAAAATGTCGCGCAAAATACCTTTTGGTTGCCATTATTTGAGCCAATTTTTCGTATTGCCCGTATTACCGCTCTCGAAAACACAGAAATCGAGAAAATTCATTTATGATGACTTTTACAATCATTCACAGTATATTTTACTTAAATTTTTTATAAAATTATATTATTTAAACCCACGAAAATAACAATTGAAACTTTCTCCGTCCACAAATTTGCAACTTAGAAAAACGGAACTACGATCGAAATGTAGAATAAGAATAATCGTAAATTTCGAAGATTGATCGAAAGGAAACGGAACGCAGAATACCAAAATTGCCAAACGGAGAAAATTTCGATTCGAGTCGAAATGCAGAATAGGGCTGTATGTCTTTGACATGTTGTTCTTTTGTTTGAGAATAATTTATAACGTCACCCACGTAAACGTAACAGCTTTTTTCCTATTTGTTCCCTAAGGACGTCGTCTATAGCTGTTTGACACATACTGGGAGCGTTTTTTAAACCGAATGGTAGCCTACAAAGTTCATACTTTCCGTTGCTTACGGAAAGGGCTGTTTTCTCCCTGTCTCGCTCAGCGAGCTCGATCTGGTGAAACCCTGACTTCAAATCGAGGGTAGTAAAGTATTGTGCCAGTCCCATGTTTTATAAAATCGACATGACATTTGGTATCGGGTATTTATCGTCATTGGTATTTCAACTTGCGAAAATCTACTACCAGACTTTTTTTATTGCCAAACTCATCAATATCCTTCTTGTCTATGACCCAAATTGGATTATTGTAGGAAGACCTAGATGGTCTAACCTAACCATTTCGTAAAAATTATTTTAGTTCGTTAATAATAAAATCGACTACCCCTATTGGATATGGGTACAACTTAGAATAAATCGGTTCTTTGTTTTATACGAATCGTAGCAACTACAGTGTTATTATACAGCAGAGATTCGTTGTGATCGGCGAAAGCCTGTGATTTTTTTTCTATCATATTTAAAAATTTCCCTTTTATTGCAAAGGGTACGCTTTCCTGTTGAATTTTTACAGCATTAACGCTCTCACTTTTTAAGTTCTGAACACATTGAAAACGACGAGCTACCGACCACAGCTTCCAATTTGTCATCTTTATTATCTAAGCGCTTTGTCGATGGCGACATGATTTCTTTGAACGCGGCAGCGACATCAAGAATTTGTATGAGTTTGACATAAAAGAAGAGGAAGAACTTTATCTGTCGCCAGAAAAATAGAAATAGATCTAATCTGGCCACAACCACAGCCGTCGCGTAGCCCGGTCGTCGCCAAAATAATTATCTACATAAGAGTACGTGTTAAAATAATTTGACAGCTGTGGTTTGTAGCTCGTCGTTTTCATTGTGTTCGGGCTATAAGAAATAAAGTTTTCACTTTTAAGTAATAACTTTTCAGGTCCGAAATCATGTATTATTATTTTTCTTTTTGAAGGTCCACGACTGCATTGACTTGCGTTAACAAGTCAAGCCCAACTATCGCGTCAAAGGTTATCAAATTTGGTAATATAAAAAAATCAGAAGTTATACCAAACAAATTAACTTTACATTTCTCCCTTACTTCGCTTTTGCCATGAACTGACTTAACTACGAATGGTTTAGTTAACGATCCGCCCTGCCATATGTACGGATTTTTCCGTACAGTACGGATTTGCAGGGGTGAAAATGGTTGTACGGATTCAACGTACGGATTTTTAGCTTTGCGTCAAGATGTACGGATTTTCATACGGATTTTTGGAGTGTTTTTTCATATTGTAAAAATTCGCCTGTTTTAGATATATTCGTAGGCTTCTTTTAGTTTCTGAACCCTCCATTT